GGGGGGGGGAGAAACACACCAATTAGAGAGACACTGATTGGTTGCCTCCTGCATGACCCTGACTGGGGCCAGGGATAGAACCTTCAACCCAGGTACGTGCCCTTGACCTAGACTCAAACCCAAGAGACCCTTTGGTCCTCGGGCTGACACTCTAACTGCTGAGCCAAACCGGCGGGGGCCACAGATCATGTCTTACACACTGTTGAAGCCTGTGCGTGGGCATTCATGCACAGCGTTGCTCTGACCCGCCTAACGAGCCCACCTTCATTTTACAGACGAGAGACAGAGGCTCTGAGCAGCAAGGGGGAGCTGGGAGGCGGCACTGAGCCAGACACAGGACGTCCCAGCAGTTTCAGGATGTCTTGTCATCCGAGGCTGTTCCCTCCTCTGTGTTCCCTGCTTCTCAGGGGCCAGAAGAAAATGAAAGCCAGCTCGCAGACTGTGCCGCACACGCACAGGACAGTGGAAGCATATTCTGACAGAGCAGACGGGCACAGGGGGAGAGGCCTCGGCGGTGCCTGCAGGTCTAGGGAGGACGACGGTTCGTTTTTACTCTTTTGCTCTCCAAATTTTTTATGCGCCAGAAACACATTTATCATGGAAAAAAGATAAACTTTTCTGCAAAGCTGGCGCAGGATTTCAGAGCCGCCCAGTAGCCTCGGCGAATTCAGCGCGGGGCCCCGCTCTCTCGGGCTCGTGTCCAGGCCGCTGCGGGGCTCTGACTTCCTCCTCGGCCACAGCTTCTGGGGCCGAAGAGCCCCGGGCTTTCTTCTTTCTTTTTCTCTTTTTAAGCTGACAGGTTATTTTTATGATAGCTCTTAAGATTTCATGCACAAAGTAAAACATTTAAAGAGTTTACTAACCCTAAAGGAAAAATGAAAGTTGCACTTTCCACTGGCCCTCATTGTTCAAGCTCCTTCCAGAAAATGTTTTAGTATGAATTGGCAGTGAGGGTACAACCTCTATATGTATATTTCAAAGATCACACGATACGGTTTTCTGCAATTGGCATTTTCACCTAATGATCTTGGTGACCTCCTTGTGTCAGTGTGAGGTCTGGTCTATCTTTATTTTTCTAAATCCTCACTTGAGGATATTTTTCCATTCATCTTCGGATAAAGTGGGAGGGAGAGAGAGACAGAGGGAAACATCGATGAGAGAGAGGCACATCAATTGGTTGCCTCCTGCACGACCCCGACCAGGGCTGGGGACCAAACCACAACCAAGGCACGCGCCCCTGAATCAAACCCGCAACCCTGTGGCCGGTGGGGCGATGCCCCAACCACCGAGCCAAACCAGCCAGGGTGGTGTGAGGTCTGTCTTATTCTACTTATTGGCTACAGGTGATTTATTGAACAGATATATCAGAATATTACCAATTTCTGGATGTTTAAGTTGTTTTTAGTTTTTTGTTTGGGGGAAAAATGCTGCAACATACATCCCTGTACATGGACCTCCGTGTTCTTCTGTGAGAACACCAGGAGGGTGTGTCCCCAGCAGAACCGCTGAGTCAGCGCTGTTGTGCCTTGGTATTTTGACAGACATGGCTTAATCCTCCAAGATCACCCAGACTTACCTGCCCACTGCAGCGGGGAAGCCTGTTCCCCAAACTTTTACCAACATCATCATCATTGATCCCTATTTTCAACCTAACACTGCTGACAACAAACCACAACCAAAGCCATTCTTTCTTCTTTTTTTTTGGTACGTGCCCCTAGCAGGAATCGAACCTGGGACTCTCTGGTCCGCAGGCCAACGCTCCAACCAGAGCCAAATCGGCCAGGGCCCCTGCTTTCTTCTTTACGTGGCTTCTTTCTTTGGAAATCTGTTTTCTCAGCTATTATCTGATTAACATTCAGTCTCTTCACGCAGGTACAAAGGAGGTGACGTAAGCCATGGGCACGAGAAATATGTAATGTGTTCTAACAAATGTCCTCCAAACCAATCTCCCTGTTCTCCAAGCGGTAATAAAATCAAATTGGCTGAGCTGGGATCTTCAAAACTTAACTGAGCATTTTTTAGAAATAATTTTTTAGCCCTGGCCGAATTGGCTCAGTGGTTAGAGTGTTGGCTCATGGACCAAAGAGTGGCGGGTTCGATTCCGGTCAAGAGCACATATCTCGGTTGTGATTCTATCTCCGGCCCTGGTCAGGGTCGGGTGGCAGGCAACCAGTCGATGTGTCTCTCCCATTTCGATCCCCCACTCCTTCCCTCCCACTCTATCTGAAGATAAATGGAAAAATATCCTTGGGTGAGGATTAAAAAAATAAAATAAAATAAAAATTTTAAGAGCATGATTCAGAAGAGAATGAGAGAGAGAGGGAGAGTCTGTCAGTGGGCAATATGTGATTTGGGGGGAGATGAGGGAAACATCCTATTCCTCATGAAATGTTCACCCACTAATTCAAGTCCTCCGGTGACTTTCTAAGTCCAGTGTTCCTTCTGCTTTATTAGTTGGCACCATAACGCCTCTCTCCTCCCCTTGTTCACTATTCCCTCAACACGCACGCGCGGATCCGCATCCCCCGGACGTGCTCTCGCTGTTGCCGTCATCACTCAGGCAGATGCTCCGATCGCCTCAGGTTAGGCAAAGGGGGGCATCAGATTGGCTCTTATGTCCTTTTGACAGGTCCTCATGGTCCTTTGAACACTTCCTTGCCTTTTGGTGCAAAAAGCGGCCCCAGGTTCATCTGCGGCTTCCCTGCCCCGGCTCTGGACTCGGACAGTCCTCGGGAGTCCTGGTTCCTTTCGGTGCAGAAAGGTGTTCGGAGACCAAGGTCTGGGCACCAGGTCTCACTCTGCCGCGTGTCGCCGCTTTTAGGCCCGCTCAGCAGACAGCCAGGAAATACGTATGTAAAACACACGTTGTCGATCTAATATCTTCTCTAATCTAATTTTAAAAACCACGAGGTCGCACTGGGCCCTCAGGTGCTGTAGAACAGAGCAAGGCGCTTCAGGGAGGCCACCGGCAGGAAGGGGGAGCCCCACAGCCTTGCCCCTCGCTGCTGAGCCTGGATGCGCCCCGGAGGGGCAGCCAGAGTTCCCAGGGACCTCACCTTCCTTCTTTCACTTCAACGGCTTCAGTTAGGATGGTCCCACCACAATCAATGGCAAATAATCAAAGGGCAGAATATACTTTTTAAAAATGTTTGTATTGATATTTTAGAGAGAGAGGAAGGGAGAGAGAGGGAAACATCAATTGGCTGCCTCCTGCACACCCCATACTGATGATTGAGCCCACAACCCAGGCATGTGCCCTGGTTGGGAACTGAACCAGGACCTCTCAGTCCATGGGACAATGCTCAATCCACCGAGCCACACTGGCCGGGCAGAATATAAGTTTGGACATAGATATTCACCTGCGAGATCACCACACGATCAGCAGAGTGAACACACTCATCCCCAGCGTCCTCCAGCACCTCCCTGCTGGCCGGCCCCTTCTCCCTCTCACCGGGAAGCCACGGATCTGCGCTGTCACTACAGATGAGCTCGCATTTTCTAGATCTGACAGGAGTGGAATCACACAGCGTGGGAGTTTTGGGTCTGGCTTCCTTACTTAGCATAATTATCTGAGACCCACCCACAAACTGTCTGTGGCAGCCGGTACCGCCCTTCCGCCCGACAGACAGCCCACGTTTTCCTTGCCTACTCGCTACACCGCCGGACACGGGCTTTTCCCGGCCGTGGGCTGTTACGAATGAAGTTGCCGTGAACATCGCAGATCAGAGTCTGCGGGGACGATGCTTTCACTTTTCTTAGCTAAACGTTTTCCTACGAGTGGGATGGTTAGATCACCCGGTGAGTGTAGGCATGTCTGACTTTTTAAGAAACTGACAGACGGTTTTCCAAAGTGGCGCACCACACGGTGTGACCAAGCAGGGTGAGCCCGATGCTGTGTTTCCGGGGAAAGGGAAACCCATGGGTGAGGGCCGGATTGAAGAAGCAGCATGTTTTCTTCTGGAAGCCTGGGGTGCGGCACAGGCACTAGCAGAGGGGAAACGCCCGCTCAGACACAGGCCCCCCCTTGAAGGGAGTCGAGCTGCTGTTCCCTTGGTCCTGCAGGCCTGGCTTTTACAGGTCCAAACATGTGAAACCAACAGCGAAGATGGACTCCAGTCAGCTCAGGGGCCCCGCGCATTAGGCTACTACCTTCTCTTTTCTTTTCTTTTTTTATCCTCACCCGAGGACATTTTTTGCATTTCTCTTCAGAATAGGAGGGAGAGAATGGGGAAGAGAGAGTGAGAAACATCAATGTGAGAGAGACACATCAACTGGCTGCCACCCGCATGACCCCAACCAGAGCCGGAGACAAACTGCAACCGAGGTACGTGCCCCTAGTGGGAACCAAACCCAGGACTCTCCTGTCCACGGGCCGACGCTCTAACCACTTAACCAAACCAGGGCTGCCTTTTCTTTAGTAAACAAATCTAGGACTTTCCTTTCCTGCTGGAGTCAGGGTCCAGGGAAATAGGGCTTGTTCTCCTTTTCTGAGCTTGTAGACGGAGCATGCAGATAGTGCTAGGGTGCTGGGCCCCTCTGGGTTGGGGACCCTGATGCTGGCACATGACACCCAACTTTCATGTTCTTGCCTCCTGGTTACCCAAAGGCCCTCCCCCTTCAGAGTCCAGGCCAGAGCATTCCCAAGTCGTCAGCTGTCGGCGATCTCAGGGTGATAAAACAGGGAGGGAGATGGAATTCAGTGAAACAGACCCTGACAGGGAAGTGAGGCCAGAGAAATGGAGCTAAAGGAAGAAGGACAGGCTGGAATGCTAAAGCCCCGAGGGCTCTCCGAGGAAAGGCTTCCCTCCTGTCTGCGGACAGCCAAGGTGGTTTTGGAATCGAGACTATTTGACTGATATCAGCACAACGTGGACCCCAACCCTTGCTCGAGATTTGTTTTCGTGAGAAAGAGAGTTAACATGGAACCTCCATCTTTAGGTGTTTATTATTGTTCACTTACAAGTCCTGTTTTTATTTTGCCCTCTTTCTAGCAGCAAGCTTGCATCTGACCCACCATGACACCCACAGAATCCACAGTGAGTACAGCCCCGCTCCTCGGGCTCCTAAAAACACCCTCCTCTCTTGCTTTTCGGGGGGGTGTGGGGAAGGCTCTCTCTGCGAAGTTTCCTGGGTAAGCGTTCTGTTCAGCAGCGCCCCACAGAGGCGGTCCACACCCAGTGCAGAGGGCTTTGCAAACACAAGAGACAGACGCCCTTCGAGGTGTGTTGTGAAGACAGAGGAAAAGGCTATTTTAGATTTTACTAAGAGCTAAGGGTTTTCATGATCTTCAACTAGAATGAGCTTTGCTCCGTGTGTCTGTTCTGAAACTGAAACCAGAGAGGGTGAGGGTGAACCCATTCACTGTTTTCACAAGATCCCTGGTGGGCACACTGATTGTATTTCTCACATAAAAATACGTCGGTTTCACAAAACCACATAATGAGATTGATTTCTCAGAAAGGTACAAAGAAGTTAACAAAAATTAGTAGGTCATTATCCAGAGAATCATTTGTATTTTTATAGGTAAATGTGACCAATTACAGAATCAAATTAAATTCCCATGCTTTCGTTACATTCATAAATGCCTTGCAAAAATACCTAAGGGGTTTAATTTTGCTTTTCTCCAAGGGAAAGTCTGGGCTTTCCAGGAAGACCATTGAAATCAAGCCTTCTTAGTGAAGCTAACAAACTGCCCTTCCCAGAACACTGTAGGTTTTCACAGTCCACGTAGGGCTGTGGTTGCCATCGTTAAGGTCAGATAAGTCATTTATGATATGCTGACGATGCTTAGCATTGCATGTGTCCCCTCAACTCACACAGAAGAATCAAGAACCAGCTCAGAGGTCAGCTCATCCGGATAATAGGTCTAGCTTTGGTAAACACCTCATTTTTTCAAGAGGGTCTGAGAACAACATAGTTTGCTAAGAAATACAGGAAGAGAAACCTTCGGTAAGAGTATTTCTGGCCCGGCTGTGTGGCTCAGTGATTGAGCATCAGCACATGTACCGATGCTCATTGCCAGTTCAATTCCCGGTCAGGGCACATGCCCACGTTGTGGGCCCGATCCCCAGTGGGGGGCATGCTGGAGGCAGCCAATCGATGTTTTCTCTCATTGATGTTTCTATCTCTCTCTCCCTTCCTCTCTCTCTAAAACAATAAAGGAAAAAAAATTTTTAAAGAGTATTTCTAGACATTTTAATAAGATACAAAAGAGAACTGGTCAGTCCCTCCGGACACAGGCTGGGACACGTTCTATGAACAAGGGTGCCCTTCCAACACACTCCCCGCCCGCCTCACGTCCCATAACAGACTTGAGGCGCTTGACGAGGACACGCACACAGAGTAGGAAAAGAGAACAAACGCAGACGGGGTCAGAGGAAGATGAAAGGACAAGTGGGAAAGAGGGAGAGAAGGTCCAACCTGGGTGTTTAGCCTGAAACTGTGCTATGCGGCCAGGTAGCCCCACGCACCTGGAATGCGGCTGCTCCCACTGAGATGTCCTGTGGACTGAGAGCCGTGTCCCCGAAAGGGTATAGAATGACGCCATACATTTTAGGTTGCTTACATAATGAGAAAACATTCTAGATACATCAGGTTTCACTAAAATACATGAAAATGAATTCCCTGTTTCTTATTACTTTTTTTTCTCCCCATCCAAGGATATTTTTCCATTGCTTTCTAGATAGAGTGGAAGGGAGTGAGGGAGAGAGAGAAACATCAATGTGAGAGAGATGCACTGACTGGTTGCCTCCCGCACGATCCCGACCAGGATGGGGATGGAACCTGCAACCCAGGTAAGTGCCCTTGACTGAGAATCAAACCAAGACCCTTTGGTCCACGGGCCAATGCTCTAACCAGCCAGGGCACTTTTACTGTAATGTGGCTACTAGCAAACTCCAACTTAACCTGGGGCTTGTCTTTGCTCTTGTTGGACCATGCTGGCCAACGCGCCTTGTATGGCTACTATCACTGGGATACAGGTTTGGCTGAGCTTCCTACTTAAAAAGAGAACCCTCATTGATCATAAAATTCCTGTTTCATGAGAATAAAAACCCTCACATGTTCTTCAGGAGCTATGAAGCCTTTCTTTACATAGGACACAGAGCTATATGAACAAACCCCCTGAGGACCCTCTCTCAATGCAGAGTGGGCTGCATGGGGAGTTTCTTAGATCCCACCTTGATGTAGACCCTGGGCATAAAGCTACTGCAGCTGGTGGAAATCATTCTAGAAGGTTCCACCATGTACGCTGGAAGGAATGTGGGGTAAAAATGTGTGGATTTCAGACCCTGCCACTAATTCTCTCTGGCCCAGGCTTTGAGAACAGCCTCTGCAGGTAGCTTCTCCAGCAAGAACAGTGTCTCTAAGACACAATTCAGAGCAGGGAGGATGGAATAAGGGCTTTGCAACTTCAGAATTCCTCATGGGAGCCTGGAGTCCCCCATGAAAAGAGGGACCAGCCCTGAGCTGGACGCCAAAGGAGTACACATAGGCAAGACCGTGCTTAGCACCGAGTCTGACATGCACAAGGTGCTCCAAAGGGAGTGAATACATGCATTTGTAAATACTGACTTGGACATGTGCTGGATCCTGTGTCTACGATCCAAAGGACATTTACCCATCAGGCATGTACACAGTGAGTGTAGTCCTGAGACGGAAGAGACACCTTTGTCCAGGATTCCCCAGCCCCGCTATGAATGCTTGATCTGTTGTGCTCATGCAGATGCCCAAAGCTTCGAACTTGTAAGGATGATGCAGGCTTACCTTGGTCTTCACAACAAATGTGATCTTATACAAACCCAGGGTGTTTTGTGTATGACTCAGATAGCTTTTAAAATATGCCTGAGATATTGAATCAGCAATTTGGAAGATAAGAAAGCAGAAAACATCCAATCATAACAGCAAAAAGAAAAATAAAATACAAAAAATGAGGATAGTTTAAGGGCTTCTAGGACAACATCAAGTGTACCAACACTCGCATCACAGGGGTACCAGAAGGAGAAGAGAGACAGAAAAGAATTGAAAACCTATTTGAAGTAATAATGACAGAAATATTCTATAACCTGGTGAAGAAAATAGGCAAACAAGCCCAGGAAGCACACAGAGTTCCAAACAAGATGAACCCAAGGAGGCCAATACCAAGGCACAGCAAAATTAAAATGTCAAAGATTAAAGACAAAGAGGGAATCTTAAAAGCAGCAAGAGAAAGCAGTTAGTTACTTGCAAGGGAGCACTCATAAGACTGTCAACTGGTTTCTCAACAGAAACTTTGCAGGCTAGAAGGGAGGGGCATAAAATATGAAAAGTGAAAAAAAGCAAGGGCCCACAGCAAGGTTACTCTACCCAGCAATGCCATCCTTTAGAATCGGAGGAGCGATAAAGAACTTCTCAGACAAGAAAAAGCTAAAGGAGTTCATCACCACCAAACCGGTATTACAAAAAAATGTTAAAGAAACGTCTTGAAGAAGAAGGAGAAAGAGAAGGAGAAGAAGCAGCAGCAAAAATATGAATAATAAAATGGCAATAACTACACATCTCTCAATAATTACTTTAAATGTCAATGGATTAAATGTTCCAATCACATGACATATAGTGGCTGGATAACAAAACAAGACCCTTACATATGCTGTCTACAGGAGACTCACTTCAGATAGAAAGACACACATAAACTATATTTCATGAAAATGGAAACGAACAACAACAAAAGCTGTGATAGCAATACATATACCAGACAAAATGGACTTTAAAACAAAGGCTATAATAAGAAACAAAAAAGGACCCAGAAATCCCACTTCTGGGTATTTATCCAAAGTAACTCAAAACACTAATTCAAAAAGACATATGTATCTATATGTTCATTGCAGCATTATTTACAATTGCCAAGATAGAAGCAACCTCGATGTCCATCAACAGATGAATGAATGAAGTGGTGTTTATACAATGGAGTATGACTCAGCCATAAAAAAGGAGATCTTGCATCTGCAACAACATGGATAGACCTAAAAGGTATTTATTGTGCTGAGTGAAATAAGGCAGACAGAGAAAAAGAAATGCCTTAAGATTTCACTAAAAATAATAAATAAATGAACAAACAAAATAGAAACAAACGCATAGATACAGAAAACATTTCGACAGATGGGTGGGGGCTTGTGGAGCAGGGTAGTACAAGTTGGTAGTTACGGAATAGTCACAGGGATGTGTACAGTACAGGGAATATAGTAAGTGATATTCTAATAACTATGTGTGGTGGCAGGTGGGTACTAGATTGACCAGAGTGATCACTGTAAATTATACAAATGTCTAATCACTATGTTATACACCTGAAACTAATACAATATTGTATGTTAACTGTAATAGAAAAATAAAAAATTATGTTTAAAAATACGCCTGGGGAGTCCCTAACTAAATGTAATTCTGTACTGAAGCGCTGGGTCCTGCCACCCTCACCCAAGAAGAAAACATACTTCTGGAGCTTCGAGCAGGACGCGGGGCCCTTGATCTGGGACTCATCTCGGGGAGCGGTGGTCGTGGGCCCCTCGCTGGGCAGAGGCAGATGCTGGGTCTCCTGGGACACGAACTGCGTGAGGTCCCCTCTTCGAGACCCTCCGGGCTGCATCTGTGAATGGGGAAGCTGTTTGCCTCCTGACCTCCCAGCATCAGCCTCAGGCTCATGTGAGAGTCTATTAAAGCTATTTGACCCCAAAAGTGTAAAAACCAACCAAACCTCTACGAAAGCAGTGCCCTGCTTCCTTGTTGTGAGGATTCACGAGGGACACCTGCTCATCCGCATAATTTCACTGACGTTCCTCCAAAACGTCCTTCTCCCCAAAGTTTCACTGAAGCGTGTCACCCATGAGACCTGTCTTGCCAAGAGACTGGCTCTCCAGACAGTGGCCAAAGCTGGAAAGGAAATCTTTTCATGCAAACCGAGGAGGATCCGTCAGGCCTGCGGAGAAAGGGGAGGGGCGGCCATTGCTGGCTGCCAGGCCCTCGAACCATCTCCAGACCAGTCCACTGGGTCTCTCCCTGCACTAGGACTTTCTCTTGCTCACACACTGGAGGTGGTGTCAGGACTAGATTCCAGATCTTCTTAGTTGTAGTCCGAATTACCTTGGGTGTCCACCCTGGGGTCCTTCTGGTACTTTCTGCCAGCCAGGGCCCAATACAATGGACATGTTCCCTTAGCTCTTGGTGTGAGCTTCAGAATTCAGGAGACAACAGGCTCCTGACATCTACTGCCCCTTACCAGTCAACTCCGTGTGTCCTGATGTCTTAATGAGCAACACACACACACACACGGGTCCGTGCTCATACACATTTAGGAAGCACTGTTCTACAAAATCCACCAGATATGAAAGACTCCACAGAAACTTTACAGTTCTAATGTGCAGTTAAAATAAAACAAGCTCTGCAGGACTTTTCAGAGCCTTTAATAAGCTCACCAGTACTGTGAAGTTCAAAGAAGGTGGTATGCTATGCAGAGACTCTCCACTATTTAACCATCAGTATTCCGCCCACACACGGTTTGGGAAATGCTGGTGGAAGCTACTAGGAAGACGTGGAAATGACAGTGTGTATAGACAGGGAGAACCCCGCTAACAGGAGTCTGGTGGAAGAATTTTATTATTTTACTGACCAGTTAAATATGTAAATTAAATATTTAATATTTAAAACAATAAAAAGCTATTGTGGACTTGAGGTTACTTCTAGTCCAAATGCATCCAGGTGAAGTGAAGAACTGTTGCATTTCCCTGAGGGGAAATAAAGGTAGAGATGGCTTGGGGCAAGGGAGCCAGAGCTGGTGGCTCCTGGTGGAATTTGGGGGACTTCCTGGGAGCCCCGGGAGGGGCTAGTAGGAAGTGAGGGCATCTCAGGATCTGTGAGTGATGCGTTTGGAACTTGGCAGATGTGGGATTGCGGCTCTTCTCCTCCCTCCCTCCCTGCGGGAGGTTCTGATCATCAGCCCTTATTCCCACTTCTCCAGCAGGGGTTCTAGGCTGGCTCTGGGCCAGAAACCCACCAAAACTGTAGTGGGGGTGTGTGTGCACATACACACATGCACACAAGTTGTGTGGGTGTGCATATGTGTGAGTGTGCATTGTGAGGACGTGTGCCCCTCTCTGAACAGTGTGCATATGTGTGTGTGAGCATGAGTGTAGGCATGTTTGTGCGTATGTGAGTGTGTGTGCGGCGAGGGCCAGCTTCATGGGCATCTGTCCTGCACAGCTGCACAGGCCCTGTACCTAGAAGTGCCACTTGTTTGGTTTAATGCTCTGTTGTCTTGGAATGCTTAGCGAATTTTGAGCAAGGGACCCTGAAAACGATATAGCCTGTCCTGGCGCTTGTGTGCGCGTACGTGAGAGTGTATGAACTGCGTGCGCGTGCATGTGTGTCCATGGGTGAGGTCAGTGCTTCTGGAGCAGTAGACTCAGAGGGACCCGGACCCAGAAACGTCGAAGAGCCTCTGAAGACCTTATTGGGGAGGAAAGAACAGAGGAGAGGGACAGTCAGAATCATTCAGAGTTTGATAAAGGTTTGTGCCCATCAGTGGTCCCGAGGGGGTCCTACCCCATAAGAGCAGCTGTCACCCCCGTGTGTGCCCTCCACAGGTGGGTTAAGTTCCATGAGAGCAGGAACCATGCCTGACTTGTTCACCTGTGTCGTCAGCATGGACAGGTTATCTGACATATCGTAGGTGCTCAATAAACATTTGTTGAATGAATAAATCTGTTATGATTCAAGCAACGCTCTCAGAATCCCTACTTCCTACGTACACATTTCTTTCGTCTTATCATAGGCTTTGGGGATTGGAAGGGTCTAGTGGTCCTTGCCTCTGCCATCAGACAGAACCTCCAAAAGATTGTCCTTGACCTAACGCTGTCTTGTGTCTCCTTGCAGAGCTTGGTCTCTGATCTGTCTAATAATGACTTCGGCTACGACTACACGTCTTCCATGGATGACTATCTGAACTTCACCCTCACAGACCTCTTCTGTAAGAAGAACCACGTCAGGCAGTTTGCGAGCCACTTCCTCCCACCCTTGTACTGGCTCGTGTTCATCCTGGGCACCGTGGGCAACAGTCTGGTCGTCCTGGTCTACTGGTACTGCACAAGGGTGAAGACCATGACTGACATGTTCCTGCTGAATCTGGCCATCGCTGACCTCCTCTTTCTCGTCACGCTGCCCTTCTGGGCCATCGCCGCCGCCGAACAGTGGAAGTTCCAGTCCTTCATGTGCAAAGTGGTCAACGGCATGTACAAGATGAACTTCTACAGCTGTGTGCTGCTGATCGTGTGCATCAGCGTGGACAGGTACATCGCCATTGCGCAGGCCATGCGAGCGCAGAACTGGCGGCGGAAGCGGCTCCTGTACAGCAAAATGGTTTGCGTTATTGTCTGGGTGATGGCGGCCACTCTCTGCATCCCGGAAATCATGTACAGTCAAGTCAAGAATGAAACTGGCGTCACCATCTGCACCATGGTGTACCCTCGTGATGAGAGCACCAAACTCAAATCAGCAGTCTTGACCCTGAAGGTGATCCTGGGGTTCTTCCTTCCCTTTGTGGTCATGGCTTGCTGCTACACCATCATCATTCACACTCTGATCCAGGCCAAGAAGTCGCCCAAGCACAAGGCCCTAAAGGTGACCATCACTGTCCTTACTGTCTTTGTCTTATCTCAGTTCCCCTACAACTGCGTTCTGTTGGTCCAGACCATCGACGCCTACACCATGTTCATCTCCAGCTGTGCCATTTCCACCAACATTGACATCTTCCTCCAGGTCACTCAAACCATCGCCTTTTTCCACAGTTGCCTGAACCCTGTTCTCTATGTTTTTGTGGGTGAGCGATTCCGCCGGGATCTCGTGAAGACCCTGAAGAACCTGGGTTGCATCAGCCATGCTCAGTGGGTCTCCTTCACAAGGAGAGAGGGTAGCTTGAAGCTGTCCTCCGTGCTGCTGGAGACAAACTCAGGTGCTCTCTCCTGAGGGACCGTCCTAGAGGCGGACAGTCCTTTTGGGGATAACAATCAATACACATACAGCTTTCCCACCGATGGGACCAGAAGGACACCGAAGAAGAAACAGGGAGAAAAAGAAAACTCAGAAAAGAATGAATTGGAACAGGATTAGTTCGGGTCATCATTTTCCAAGCCAGAGTTTTCAAAACGGACTGGCCGTTCCCAGGAGCCTGCTGACTGGCTCCCGACGGCAGTGCCCACAACTCAGGAGAGCTTGCGGGCAGCACTGCAGACTACCCCTGGCCCGGCCCACCAGTGCGCTGACGCCTGGCTGCGGCGTCCGAGTCTCAGCACCACGAGCTGCCGTGGTTTCAGTGCCGAGCCGCCCCTTCCGAAGGTCACGCAGAAGCACTGGCCACGGTGCACCGTCCACAAAAGCACAAGGTTGCATGAAAACTCCCATCTTTGGGGAGTTTCCGCCCTGGTTTTGAGGCTGATGCCTATGCCGGGTCTCATAGATTCTTAATCTAGAATCTTTCCAAAGACCTCAGACCTAGTTCCCCGCTGGTCCCCCTGATCTGGTCTGGGCCAGGGAGGGTCCCTGTTCCTGCTTTGAAACTCTCTGCAGGACTGGTCAGTGAGCTCCTGGCGGATGACCATACCAGCTGGTCACCTGGATCCTGTCGGCTCCCAACCCCTCCTGTGTTCTGCTGGAGGTTCTGTGATCCCTGCCCGCAGGGTGATGTGGGCAAGGGTTCAGCTTGTCCCCCGGTGTCGTGGGGGTGGTCGCCTCAGCCTCCACAGGGAGACGGAGAACCAGCCCTGGGGCCTCGTGGGCTCCCGCGGCCGGTGGCTTCGTGATGGTCCCCGCTGCTGCCCGTACAGCCGAGGCCCGTCGGCCCTCTCGCCTCCACGCCGTCCTTTCTTACTGTGTAGCACTAACACGTTTCAAAGCTTTCAGCTTGCAGATTAGGCTGGAAAAAACTAATATAATTCTTTTTTTTTTTGCTTTGTGTCGTCTAGCTGTTTGGCAAATTTATCACATTTGAAAACGTTTTGTACATTAGAAAAGTGCTTAACATTTTTTAAAATTTACTTTTCAATTACAGTCGACATGCAATATTATATTAGTTTTAGGTATACTAGAAAAGTAGTTTTTAATGTACATTTAAAAATACCGATGACCTGTCCCTTTCTTCACCCTGTCTCTGTATTTTAAACATATAAAAGTACAGAGAAAATAGCCCTATGAAGAGCGAGGAGAGTGAGTCAGCTCTCAGACCCTGGAAAGGGCCGACTCGCGCTCCTCTGTCCTCTGGTCACGCCGCTGCCCCAGCCGTCCCGACAGCGCAAGGACCTTCCCTGCGGCTGCGGCCCCGCCGGCACCCCCCTCGCCGCGTGCCTAGAGGAGCGTCTGATTTCTCCAGTGTGCTGACTAACGGGGCTTCAGGTCCAGGGCCACCCTCCCGAAGGGGACGCAGCAGCACTGGACTCTGCCACCTTCTCTCCCGCTCCCGCCCGCTCAGCGACGTGTCCGTGAGAGAGAGCCCAGGAAATGGGCCACGCCGAGAGGGCGCAAGGGGTGACGCCAGGCCATCCCGTGGGGGGCGGTGGGTGGCAGACAAGCACGGCCTCGGGCCAGCACTCAGGGTGCCCGCAGTCCAGGGGCGAGACTTCTCCGAGGCCAGCCTGTGCCCAGAGCCGCCGTGTGGCCGCTTCCAGAAGACCCAGATGTCGTTTGGGGAACTTGGAAGATAAGGCTGAGCCTGAGCCAACCCTAAACAACAAAGTGCAGTCAGGTGGGGAGGACACGAGCCTGGCTTTTCCATTCGTGGAACCCGGGTCCTGCGCTCCCAGGGAGCCGAGGGCCGCTGGGGTGGGAAAGGAAGCTGAGCCATCACCCTGCTTGTTGACCGACTCAGTCTAGAGTTACTAAGGGGACACGGAGCCTTGGCGGGAGCTCAGAAGTAAGACTTGGCCACTGTGCGCTAGCTGGCAAACAGCGCCGGGGGCCACCTTTGCCCCTCTGGTTTTAAGAAGGGAGATGCGGGAACGCCACAGGCACCGCGAACCCCGAACCCTGCACCCTGCGCGGCCCCCTGCGCATGGCCCCGCCTGCCACTCCTGGACGGTCCAGGCCTCATTCAGCTTCAGCTAGCACTGGAGGCCTGCTGCACGCGTGTTGTTTTACAGGTTCTTTGTCTTGGTTTTTAAGGGGCTGCATAAATAGGACCATTTCCCATTCGAATTAAACTAGGTTTCAGTAACAGATTTATCTTAAGACAAAAATGTTGGACGGGTCAACGCGGGGAAATCCACGAGGAAGTTGTGTCCATTCAACATTTCTAGAAAGTATGCTGTGTGAGTACTTTTTGAAATATAAAAGTGGATTACAGTATATCATTACATTTTACTAGACCTCTGTAAATCAGAAAAATAAAGAAACTGGATCAAAGATGATGTTTTCATGACCAAAAAATGGTTTCACCAAAAAGGAATTTTTTAAACTACCTTTAAGCTGCCGCACCCCGGCACGCATGGCCCCGCGAGGACTGTGGTCGGAAGCAGCTGGCTGGGAAGCCAGGCCTTGGGAACCGCCCTTCAGGCCCACAGGACACTCACTGACTCGGCACACGAGCGCCTGGCCGGGCCTCTGCTCCCCGAGGCTGACGTGGGAACAGCGGTTCTTTCCCTCGGGCTCCTGACATCCCAGCCGTACGGGAAGGCCAGCGCCACGGGCGCTGTCAGGTGACACCCCTCGGCTGAGAACCGCAGGTAGTGTCCCTGCGTGGCTCATCAGCTCGGTTGTAGACAGTTCCCAGGACAAGCCGCTCGCACGCATGACGGCCCCTTGGGCGAACCCTGGGACAGCGGCTTTGAGTGTGTCCCTGACCTGCTGGGTGACCCAAGCACCCCCTCCCCTCCATGGTGCCTTGTATGTAGTAGACACAACATGTTGAACTAATAAATTTGTTAAAATGTAAAACTAGTCCTTTGTCAAATTTGTACTTCAGGTGTCAGAAATCGGCAGCCAGAAACCCTTGGAGAAGTAAAGGCGGACAACGTCGAGCACCGCAGTGTGGGCGGCAGTGCGTCCTCCTACCTCCAGGCGCCGGGAGGAGCTGGCTGTCGGGGCGCGGGCTGGCGTGAGCCGACTGTGCCTTCCCGCGGCCTTGGGCGTGGCTCCGGCTCTGCCTGCCGGCTCCGGGCGGGGCGCTGCTCAGGGCTTCCCGCTGGCCCACCGGGCTCTTCACTGCCCTGGAGGACGCAGCCAGCCCAGCGCCTGCCTGCCGTTGGGCCGCTCACCCTCCGCTGCAGGCGGTCCCGCGGGCGTTTCCCCGATGGCCTGACACCACAGCGAAGGCCGACGAGCGGGATGAGACCTTCGGACACGCCCAGTGACCTTCTGGTTCAAGCCACGAAACGCTGTCACACGTGTTCTGTGTTTGTGACCTGTGAGCAGCTGTGCTTGGTTTTCCGATCTGAGTCGGCCTCATACACTGAGCTCCATGCGGCGTCCAGGTCAGAGCCCAGGCAAGTCATCCTGCCCACCCTGGCCCAGCACGGCCCGGTCTACGGAAGACGCAGGCACAAGCGGACAGTCTGCGTCCCAGTGAACTGAGAGTGGTTCAGAGAAACCGCGCCCGCAGCCGGAGCAGCAGCATGGCCTCGCCCCTGCCCCGGCCTCCTGCGCGCGGCTGGCTTAGGACAAGAGCCTGTGGAGCTCACCTGCGCGGCCTCCTGAGCGCGGCTGGCTTAGGACAAGAGCCTGTGGAGCTCACCTGCGCGGCCTCCTGAGCGCGGCTGGCTTAGGACAAGAGCCTGTGGAGCTCACCTGCGCGGCCTCCTGAGCGCGGCTGGCTTAGGACAAGACCCTGTGGAGCTCACCTGCGCGGCCTCCTGAGCGCGGCTGACTTAGGACAAGAGCCTGTGGAGCTCACCTGCGCGGCCTCCTGAGCGCGGCTGGCTTAGGACAAGAGCCTGTGGAGCTCACCTGCGCGGCCTCCTGAGCGCGGCTGGCTTAGGACAAGAGCCTGTGAAACACTCCTGCGCGGCCTCCTGAGCGCGGCTGACTTAGGACAAGAGCCTGTGGAGCTCACCTGCGCGGCCTCCTGAGCGCGGCTGACTTAGGACAAGAGCCTGTGGAGCTCACCTGCGCGGCCTCCTGAGCGCGGCTGACTTAGGACAAGAGCCTGTGAAACACTCCTGCGCGGCCTCCTGAGCGCGGCTGACTTAGGACAAGAGCCTGTGGAGCTCACCTGCGCGGCCTCCTGAGCGCGCTGACTTAGGACAAGAGCCTGTGGAGCTCACCTGCGCGGCCTCCTGAGCGCGGCTGACTTAGGACAAGAGCCTGTGAAACACTCCTGCGCGGCCTCCTGAGCGCGGCTGACTTAGGACAAGAGCCTGTGGAGCTCACCTGCGCGGCCTCCTGAGCGCGGCTGACTTAGGACAAGAGCCTGTGGAGCTCACCTGCCCCGGCCTCCTGAGCGCGGCTGGCTTAGGACAAGAGCCTGTGGAGCTCACCTGCCCCGGCCTCCTGCGCGCGGCTGGCTTAGGACAAGAGCCTGTGGAGCTCACCTGCCCCGGCCTCCTGCGCGCGGCTGGCTTAGGACAAGAGCCTGTGGAGCTCACCTGCGCGGCCTCCTGAGCGCGGCTGACTTAGGACAAGAGCCTGTGGAGCTCACCTGCCCCGGCCTCCTGCGCGCGGCTGGCTTAGGACAAGAGCCTGTGGAGCTCACCTGCGCGGCCTCCTGAGCGCGGCTGACTTAGGACAAGAGCCTGTGGAGCTCACCTGCGCGGCCTCCTGCGCGCGGCTGACTCAGGACAAGAGCCTGTGGAGCTCACCTGCGCGGCCTCCTGAGCGCGGCTGACTTAGGACAAGAGCCTGTGGAGCTCACCTGCGCGGCCTCCTGCGCGCGGCTGGCTTAGGACAAGAGCCTGTGGAGCTCACCTGCGCGGCCTCCTGAGCGCGGCTGACTTAGGACAAGAGCCTGTGAAACACTCCTGCGCGGCCGGTGAGCAGCGGCCGTGAGCGGCTCCTTCTCTCGGCCCCT